CCCCCCCCCCCCGCCTTTGCTCTAGCTGGGGTCCCCCACCCCCCAGGGATGAAAGATTCATTGCCAATTCAGAGATGGTGCCGTCTTAGGACATGTCCAGGGTTCCCCCCCCCACCCGTCACTGTCACGGGTGCAAATCTTTTCTGGCAAAGAGGGGCATTACCACCCCTATGCCAGAGCAGCAGGACATCCCCTGGCATCATCCCCCCCCCGCCTTTGCTCTAGCTGGGGTCCCCCACCCCCCAGGGATGAAAGATTCATTGCCAATTCAGAGATGGTGCCGTCTTAGGACATGTCCAGGGTTCCCCCCCCCACCCGTCACTGTCACGGGTGCAAATCTTTTCTGGCAAAGAGGGGCATTACCACCCCTATGCCAGAGCAGCAGGACATCCCCTGGCATCATCCTTACCTACGTTATTATGTGCATCAGAGGCCTGTCAGTATTACCCAGTTGTAGTGTGTGAGTGAACATGATACTGAATGACACAGGTAGGACGCTGCTGACCCTGATTTGTCCTGATCTGTGCTGACAATTAAATTGTGGTCAGTGGCCTTACGTCAACCAATGGTGGTCAAACATAATAGGAACAAAAGAACTGTGGCAATCATCAGTCTCATCCATTATTGTCCTGTCCATCGATACTAAATGCTTTTCAGAGAAAGATGCAAGAAACCTCACAGTGGATAGATATGGGATAATCAGTGTCCCATGACAGTTTTATGCCAATCCTTATTGGAGACTGGTTTAAATACTTATGTTTATAGCCTTGCAAATAACATTTTGTAATGTAGGGTGTGTCTAGACTACCTAGTTTTGTCGACAAAAGTGGACTTTTGTCGACAAAACTATACCAGCGTCTACACTACCGCTGAGTTCTGTCGACATAACGTCGACAGAACTCAGCAGTTTTGTTGACGCTGGTATACCTCATTTTACGAGGCATAACACCTTCTGTCGACAGAACTCTGTCGACAGAAGGTGTTATTGCCTGTAACGTTGCGTCCAGACTACGGAGTACTGTCGACAAAGCAGCTTGCTTTGTCGACAGAACTCAATGTGTCTGGACGCTCTTTGTCGACGGAAATTGTGTCGACAGTGTCTGTCGACAAAACTTCCGTCGACAAAACGCGGTAGTCTAGACGTACCCGTAGACAAACACCGTGGAATAGTAAAATTCTGAAGTGCAGAAGGTCTAGAAAGAATAATTCAAACCCTTGGAAGATTTGGAGTATACATCTGGGGATGACCCAGCACCTCTAATAAGGTATTTGTGTACAATGTTCCCTCTAATTTTTTCTATTCATGTGCGGAATACATTTTGTTACGTGCACCTAAGCATTCACCAATGTGCATCACCAGTAGAAACACTGGTGACAGCTGTGGGTATTGTAGGTGCTCTGTAAATCAGCTGGGTGTCATTTTAATCTCTTCTGGATGGCCACCCAAGTACTCAGCTTACAGGGAACACTGTGTATCAATAATTGGAGTGGTATAAATACATAGATAGGTTAGTGTTTTCAAATCAGTGGCATCATATTTGAAAGCAGCATTAGTAATGCTACATCATGAAAGGAATATCACAAGAAATGTTATACTCCATTTTAATTACACACCATTTTAATTTTCTTCTTGTCTAGTTTTTGTCGTCTATTTCTAATTTCATTCACACATTTAATAAAACAGCGTCACAGTTATGGGCTTTGACAGATTGACAGCCACATTGCTGGTGGCCTACTTTATTGTGCCAAGTATTGGGAGCAATGATTATGCTATCCCAGTGATACAGCTTGTTCTGCTGCAGTTCTTTTAATCCATGCACCCTTTTCTGCAGTGCTATTTACATCTCTGAACACAGCAAAAAATTGGGGACTATATGAAAGGAAGGGAAATACTAACTCAGTGTATTCAGAGGAAACCCTAAAATTAACTAACCTCTGGAAAGGAGCAGGAAAGTTGCTACTTGCATACACCAATCTGAAAACACAAATGTTTGGACCCTACTCTCCATGAACGAACTTCAAAAATCCAAAACCAGGAGATTAGTTTCGTTCCGTTACTTAGAGCAATACTTCCTGAAGGGAGGTTCCAAAGAGGCTGGAGAGAGGCTGTTCTCAGTAGTGAGGGATGGCAGAACTAGGAGCAATGGTCTCAAGTTGCAGGGGGAGAGGTTCAGGTTGGATATTAGAAAAAACTATTTTACTAGGAGGGTGGGGAAGCACTGGGATGGGTTTTCTGGGGAGGGGGTGGAATGTCCATCCCAAGAAGTTTTTAAGTCCCAGCTTGACAATGCCCTGACTGGGATGATTGAGTTGGGGTTGATCCTGCTTTGGGCAGGGGGTTGGACTCGATGATTCCTGAGGTTTCTGCCAGCTCTATGGTTCTATGCTTCTGAAAAGGCTATCGTTAGCTGGAACGCTTCAGAGTGGTAGCCGGGTGAGTCTGTAACAGGAAAAACTTAAAAAACAACAGACTAGTAGCACCTTAAAGACGAACAAAACACGCAGCTGAAACGTTTCACTGATATGACCAGAAAACGATAACGGTGCACACTGTGACTGGAGGTAGCACTCCGGAGGAGATACACCGCCTTTCCCCAGTGCTCCCGCCAACATTTTAATTGCTCAATGGGGTGCCCCCCCATGCTCCCTCCCTATCTCTGTGGAAGTGGGTCTGGCCCACGAACGCTCATCAGCTAATAGACCATCTTGTTAGTCTTTAAAGTGCTACATTGTCCTGCATGTTGCTATCTCTGTGGGTGAGCCTCTCTGCCGGGGCAGGCAAGTGGCCCCTACAGGGGAGAGCGGACTGGCTCTAACAGCATTTCTGTGCTCTATTCCGCGAGCTGTTGGGCTTTTTTGGACTTCTGAGGAGGGGGGAAGCGTGCCCCGCTCGCAGTGCTGCCCCCAGGGCGGGCAGGGGCTGCTGGGACACTAGGCAGGGAGGAGCTGGGACAGGGTGAGCCTCTCTGCCGGGGCAGGCAAGTGGCCCCTACAGGGGAGAGCGGACTGGCTCTAACAGCATTTCTGTGCTCTATTCCGCGAGCTGTTGGGCTTTTTTGGACTTCTGAGGAGGGGGGAAGCGTGCCCCGCTCGCAGTGCTGCCCCCAGGGCGGGCAGGGGCTGCTGGGACACTAGGCAGGGAGGAGCTGGGACAGATTTGGCGGCACCTCGGCGCCCCGCCCGCCTCCCCAGCACAGCTGCGCCCGCT